GGAATTATTATCTTGATAAAAATTAGTAACTTACAATATATATATATATATATATATACAAGCATGAAATTGGAATTGGAATTATTATCTTGATAAAAATTGTAACTTACAAATATATATATATACAAGCATAAAATTGAAATTGGAATTATTATTTTGATATATATACAAGCACAAAATTGGAACTGGAATTATTATTTTGATAAAAATATTGTAACTTCCAAATATATATATATATGCAAGTATAAAATTGGAATTGGAATTATTATTTAGATAAAAATATTGTAACTTCATTTCTTACGATTTCTTTTTATTTTCACAAAATTCCGAGATTTACAAAAGGTTGAAAATGCAAATATTTTGACACGTGAAAAATTAATGAATAAATGAAAAAGTGAAATTGATTAGATTGTAATTATAATAATATCATTTTTTACACGATTTTCTTCCATTTTCACAAAATTTTCGAGATTTGCTGAAAATTGAAAGTTCAAAATTGATATGAGAAAAATTAAAGGATGTGCAAAAAAGTGAGGAAAAAAACGACGAAAAATAAATTGTAAAAGATTTTCCTGAAAAAAACTGTAAATCCTTAGAAAATCCTTTTACAAACGAAAAATTGTTATATAATCGTATAAAATAACGAAATAAAAGAAATTAATGAAAATTTAGATAGAAAATAATTATTAAAAAAAAGGAAAAGAGGAATTATATTACATATGCTAAATGTATTATTTATTTTCTAATTAATTGAATAATTAATTGGTCTTTTGTTTTATTCAAATAGAAACAATAACAATATACAATCATATTACATCATTTAATTTATAATTATTACATTTATTATTCAAAAAAAAAGAAAAAAAAGAGAAGAATTTCAAAAATGGAAAAAGTGATAAATAAGAAAATTAAAAAACAAAAAAAAACGAAATTAATTTTTTTAAAATTTATTTTTCAAAATATTTGAAAATACCGCAAAAAAAATGGATATAAGGAAAAGGATTGAATTATTGTTCTATCGAAAAAAAAAAAATAAAGAACTTATTGATCAAATTCTTATTTGTTTAGTAATTTCATGAATGAATCTGAGTAGAAGTTTTTACCAATGAAGTGGAATATGATGCAATAGCACCTGTTCCACTTCATTATCACCATTTATTCATCCACAAAAATTCTTATTGAACCCTTAACTTTTTATGTGACAAAAATTGGAGGGACAGGAAAAAGAAAAAAGAAAATGACAGATGTTTTAGAGGAAAAATTTTTCTGAATAATTACCGGAAAATCATAATTATTTAGCATAAAAGACAAAAAGAATTGCCTTTTTTTTGTCCAATTAAAATGTTTTGAAAACTAAAATTAAATATTTTGTAAACAAAAAAGAAAAAAGAACGAAATGAATTGTACAAAATTCAACCTTCATCATCTTTTCATTAATTCAACTCTTTCAATATTATAATTAATGATGATGATGAATGATGATAATGATGATAACGATAATGAGAGCGCTATTTGTTATTTACTAGGCGCATTTATTATTACCTACAATTACATTGGTCAATAAATAAAATGGATGAATGGGTGGAAAAAATTAGCTTGTTTTTATTATTGTTGCTCTTTTATTATTACTGCTGTTGCTGTTGTTGTTACTGTTGCTGTTGTTGTTGTTGTTGTTGTTGTTGTTATTGTTATTGTTGTTATTGTTGTTGTTGTTGTTGTTGCTATTACTGTTGTTATTATTGTTATTATTGCT